GGCCGGCCCCCGCCGAGGCCGTGTGTGTGTTTAGGAGGTGCCGTTTCCCACAGCTCTGATCTAATGCAGCTGTAATTCAATCTCCGTGTGACCGACACTCCGCCGGCGCTCTCCCACCCGCCGGCAGGCTCCTCTCTCCCAGGCTGTGTGTGTTACACATTTACACTGTCAATCTGACAGGCTCCCCTCAAACAACCCCTCTGTATAGATTTACAATGTCAATCAGGCGGGCTTCGGGGGCTGTCTGCGGCAGTAACTCCCGCCGCTCCCTCCCCTCCGCCTCCGCTGCGCCCGCAGTATAGTCACCCTATACCTGCCACTCAGCCCCGGCAAAAGGACTTTTGTTTAATGGCATTTGTGTGCAACCACAAAGAGTAAAGGCAGCTGAAGCAGATAAGGCTGAGAACCTGAAACAGATGTAAAAGAGATCAGACCGAGTTTTCTGCGGATCCCCGACTCCTGTAGAGATTTACGACCCCTTTTAACCCCATTTTAAATAGGTTAAACTGGGTTTGGTTTATACGGACAAAATGAGACCGGCGCTTGTACAGAAATTTACCCAGAGGAATGGATCAGCCCCCCAGTTTTGTTCCGTTCCTTATCACTAAGCCGACCCATTCGGCCACCGCGTTGCTCGTCGTTTGAACGCTTCTCTGTGATCTCATTATAACTCACATCCTCCGAAAGATCGCAAAGCTGCCAGTTGACCTTTAGCCCCCGAAGAGTCCTAATTTTGGGTTGGCAACTTACAGCTCAACAAGCGAGGCAAGGCAGGCGGACAATAGCGGCGGCCGAGGACGGGGAGCACGGCACAACAATAAGCTGTCCTTGGAAGTGCTGGGCTGCGATTGTCATCCCAGACACAATCATGGGAGTCTCGGTTGGGATCGTTTTCTGTTGGCAGACGGCTTTGAACTCTGCTTTTCCCTTCCTGCTTCTCCCTTAATTATAAGTTTCTGCTTCTTCCCAATGACAGATGAATCTGTCAGGGGCGAGAAAAACCAAAGGAACAAATTCTGCTCGGTTAGTGCTGCTGAGCCTCCTTTGGCTTGCACCAGCTTACTCCGGATTTACACCAGAGGGCTCGAGTTGAGAGGGGAATATAGCTCAGTAGTTTGGCCAGTGGTTTGTACAAAAGGCACAAAACAGTCTTCCTTGCAGAAGGTTTGTCAAAGCGCCGTGATATTCACTACAGATAACAGCAAAGCTTTTCTGCTCACTTATTGCCGCAGAACGGCCTTCCTCCTCCTCCCCCTCCTCTTCCCGTGGGCACCAACAGCACCAACTTCTAGAGGATCCCAGGGTCATTTCTGGAGGGCTACACCAAAACTGGAGCCTCCCATACGACCCATTCTGCATGTCGCATCCTCGGGCTGGGGCACAGGCCCAGCTGGGGCAGGGCAGCGCTGGTCCCTGGGCTGCGTTTTGGAAATCACCGGCCAGCACTGCTGGGCTGAGCCTTCGGCTGGAGCCCTCCAGCTCCTGCACTGCCCAATGGAAGTGGTGGTGGCTCTGCAGCCCCCTTACAACTTGCCCTTACCTGTGAGGTGACTTAATGATTTTTTTAAACAAGAGTGTCAGAGTTTCGCTGATATCAGGAGGGGGCTTTTAAAAAAGTGCTTTTCCCACTGTTCTCCTAAAATGGAGGCTCTAAACAAAGCAGACCTAGAAACACTACCATAAGAAGAACCATGTCAATTTATTTCCTCTGATGGGTATTACTGACTCATCACAGTTTTCTAGCGTGCTGAGCATTTGAAGCCAGCTGTAAGAAGTGAAACATATTTCATTTTTGTCATACAGGGCTTCTTCTGAACTCCCGTGTTTTCTCTGGTTGGGGATGGAGGTAAAAGAGGAAAGTCCTCTAACAGCGAAACAAAGAGTGTTCAACTTGTGGCTGTGCCTCCGCTCTCCCACGCATGCACCTGTGTCCCCAAGCCTCTAACAACAGCATCAGAGCTAAAAAAAGCTTTGCTGTGCTCAAAGGAAAATAAGAAATGTGACCATCCAGCCTGGGAGGGAGGGAGAGAGAAAACTTCTAACTAGAGGTCATGTCTCAAATCAATATTCATAGGGCACGTGCTACTGGAAAGAGCTCCAGAGAAGAAGAAAGAACACACAGATAAAAAATAGAAGTGTCATAAAGCAGAAATGGAGGCCTCTAAATTTTCCCATTTTTAGGGTGGGTATTTTCTGCTGAACTTCTGCCCAGCACCTGACTCACACCCGTGCAGATGACCACAGATGCCAGTATTTTTCCCCGCATTTTGCACATACATGAGAGAATTCAACTTGCACCGAGGGGGCAGAAAACCAAGTGTTTGCCACAGCTGCCGGTGCTGTGGGTTTGCGTCCGTCAGCAAACACCCAGACCCAGGGAGAGGAGGCTCCGCAGGCAGGCAGCTGCTCCCCGGAGAGGCAGCACACCCGCCGCAAAGCCCCGTGCCCGGCAGCCGCTGCGGGGCTCGGGCTCGGCCCAAGTCCCTGCCTCTCCTGTCCCCATGTTGCGGGGGGAGCTGAAGTTCCTCTGGCTTTGTGCAGACAACGTCCCGGGGCCAAGAGCAAGAGGGCACAAGGAGATCTTCTTGCTTCTTTAGCGGGAGGCCAGGTAGAGCTTAGCCTAACCCCCTACTCCCGTCGTCTCTGCCCCAGCCTGCAAATTAACACCATCACCCTAAATCCACAAGCAGAGCAGAGAGAGTTGTTTTTATTTAAAGGCAACATAAAAAGCCTATAAAAAAGGTTAAAAGCCCCATATAATTATGTTATTTTATTTTATTTTCAGTCCCGTGGTATTAATTAAAAAAACATTACCCAGCTTCAGAATTTGATTCCTTCTGCCTGATATGGGGAAGGAAAGGAATCTCTCTTGAGAAAGGTCTCCAGAGTCCTTAATCACCATTTAGGGGCCCTGCTCTTTGAAGGGCCATAGAGGAACAAAGTGGTTTGGGGATTAGCGAATGGCTTTTATTTCTTCCCTAATGATGAGAAAAGTGCAACGAATGCCTAGGGCAGATGATAAATTGAGTCAGAAAATGTTGCACGAGTGCCCTTTGCTAAGCTAGAGGATCAGTGTCAACAATATAAAAAATGCCTCTGTTTGCTCATAAGAAATAATGTTTGAATCATTAAACAGTAGAGACGGTATTGGCCATATTTAACTGCCTTGTACCTGCAGCCCCTTTGCAAACAACGCCTTTGAAGTGACTTCAAAGGGTCTGTGCACATAAGGAGAGGCTGCAGTATCAGTCACTTCATTGGTTACTCACGGGACTGCGAAGCAGAGCACAACAGAGCTGAGCTGCCTCTGCCCAACAACCTCATTCAGGGATGGGAGTGAAAAGAAAGGCCATCCAAAAGCCCCTGAGAATATTTTACTCCAAAGAAGAGAAAGAAGAAACTACAGCGTGTTCCCTTTGACGTTGTCCCCCAAGCCACTTTAAGCTGGGGTTTCCTTCAGCCATGGGAAAAAAACCAAAGAAATGAGTTAATTCTAGGGAAAAAAATAATTAAATAGAGCCATGATGCTCTGTAGCATGTTTCTGAAAGCATCTGTGGTGAGGGTGAGGAATCCAGGACGGAGCCAATGTCCCCAGAAGTCACTGGAGACTCTCCCTGGTTTCAGAGAGTGCCAAGCCAGGGTTGAGTCAAGACTAGTAGGCAGCACGAGTCAGAAAGCTCCGCTGGCACGAGGGGTGCAGATCAGGAGATGACTTAACAGAAAACAACCAAATCTGCAAATGAGACTGTAATTTTTTTCCTTTCTTAAGACTGAGATACAGCACCATCTCAGAGTGCAGACAGGAATTAACTTACCAAATAATATGGCAGGATTTGTGGAAGTGCCTTTTCTTCTTTCCTTCTTTTTATAGACAATTTTCCCCTCTTTGCACAGACACCATATGAGTCATAGAATTTAGGCTGTCTGTGCTGTCCAGATAGGCAAAGATGGCATCGTGATGCTACAACTCATTATTTTTAACTTGGAGGAATGATACAAATTCCTTGGGCAGATCTGGAGCTCAAATCACCTTCTTTGGAAACTAGTGAGATACTGACAGGAGGTTAATTTTATGTGCTCATTTTAGCTCTCTGTTCATTAAAGAGGAAGCCTGTGAAGATAAGATGTTCAAAAGTGCAGTGTTTTTACATCTGGGTTTATACCTTTCAGTGATACATCATGTCCTTCTCTCACTTATTATGGCCATTTAAAAGGTTCAAAAGCACTTTCTGAGGAAAGACACAATATAAATACATACTACATGAGTTTATTCTGCAAGATATTCTTAGTAAGTAACCCTCACGAGAGATGTGTAAACGTTCTTCCTTTTTTAAAAATCTAAAACCAGTTTTTAGGTTTTTGTGTTTAGAGGATTTCGTAAGGATCTTGGGCAGGATGAGGTGTCAGGCAAGAACCTTAGGATTTCTGAGATAATT